ATAAAGCAAGACTAGTCGCCAAAGGATACTCACAGTAGTTTGGTATCGACTACAATGAGCCATTTGCTCGTTTGTATGTCTTCACGCTATAAGGGCGTTGATTGCACTAGCCGCATAGAAGAAGTGGAAGATTTACCAGCTAGCCGTCAAATCAACATTTCTTAATCGTTATCTTGAAGAAGAAATTTATGTTGAGCAACCTCAATGGTACATGGTACAAGGTAAAGAAGATAAAGTTCTCAAATTAAAAAAGGCGCTATACGGATTAAAGCAAGCTCCACGAGCGTGGAACAGCAGAATAGACAACTACTTCACTGAGCAAGGATTCAGGAGGAGCCAAAGTGAACCAACTCTATACATTAAAAATCAAGGTACAAACAGTACACTCATAATCTCTCTATATGTTGATGATCTCATCTATACAGGAAATGATGAAAAGATGATCGAGAAATTCAAGGAAGACATGATGAAAACGTTCGAGATGACTGATCTAGGATTAATGCACTACTTTCTTGGGATCGAGATAGTTCAATCTGAAGATGGGATCTTCATTGCTCAGAAGAAGTATACCACTAGTCTATTAAAGAAATTCAAGATGGAAGGTTGCAAGACAGTAGCAACTCCTATGGATAGTAACAAATCACTCAGAAAAGAAGACGATACTCCAAAAGCAGACAGTTCACAATTTCGAAGCTTAATTGGAAGTTTACTCTATCTCACAGCTTCAAGGCCAGACATAATGTATGCAACCAGCCTACTTTCCAGATTCATGCAGAATCCAAGTCAAGGTCACTATGGAGCAGCAAAGCGAATACTAAGATACCTCCAAGGAACAAAAGACTATGGAATATGGTATCAATCTTCGCCTGACTCAAGACTACTTGGGTATATTGATAGTGATTGGGCAGGATCAGTAGATTATATGAAAAGTAAATCAAGTAACGCATTCACAATAGGTTCCAGGAGATTCTCTTGGGCATCAAAGAAACAGGCAACGATTGCACAATCATCCGTTGGAGCATAGTATATCGCAGCAACAATGACAACGAGCCATGCTATATGGCTAAAGCGCATACTTGAATATATGTGAGAGCCACGAGATGAAGCTGTAGCGATTTACTGCGACAACAAGTCTGTAATATCAATGGCCAAGAATCCCGTATTTTATAGCAGAACCAAACATATTGGCATCGAGTATCAATTTATCAGGGATGCTGAAGCAAACAAAGAGATAAAACTCAAACATTGCAAGATTGAATAACAATTTGCAGATATATTTACGAAAGCGTTACCACGAGTAAAGTTTGAGTTACTACAAGAAATTATTGGAGTTGCCGAAATATGCACCAAGGAGGAGTATTAGCATTGTTACATATTTCTAGAATTCTCTAGACTAACTTGGGAAACATGCAAAATCAAAATATAAAATAATGAAAATATCAAAAAAAATAGAATTCCTTAAGGATCAAGTAAGATAAAATAATAAGAATTTTTTAGAGGCAAGCCACCAACTTTTGTATGCTTAGAATTCTCTAGACTAACTTGGGAAACATGCAAAATCAAAATATAAAATAATGAAAATATCAAAAAAATAGAATTCCTTAAGGATCAAGTAAGATAAAATAATAAGAATTTTTTAGAGGCAAGCCACCAACTTTTGTATGCTATAAATAGGAGTTGCCACTTCAATTGTTGGGTGTAGAATTCTAAAAGCATTGTCATTGTAAAAGTCTCCCGCCATTGTAAAATTCTATTTTTGAATAAATTAAAATTTTCTTGTTCAATTATTTTGTCTAATTTAAAATTACTCCTTCCTATTTTTATCCTACAAAATATACTTCACATAAACCACCAAACCTTTTCAATCTAATTTACTTATTTCTCCTACCAACCATAAAATATCATAAGTGGGTTTCATTTTGAGTATGGTGATAAAGATTATTCCCCTAATACCAAAAGATGGAGAAGTGCATGGAGGCCTAAACCGGAAGTCTCGCCCAGCCCCTACTCTGGTTTAAAGTTTCATATACATTGCACATTTAAGAAGAGTGAAAATTGGAATTGTTTATAATGGTTCGACTTCAATGTATTAAGTTTGTATATAAATTATCGCATGAACATGCGGTATGAATTTCACTAAATTGATTTGTAAAAAGATTGATTGTAAGTTTAGTTTTATTAAGAATCTTATAGTTTTGAAGTGATCCTTTGAAGTCACTGTTAATTTGAGTGTTTATAAAACTCGGATTATTCCCTATTGGGCATCAACACATCACAGTATTCTGTCAGATAGGTATTACAGTCAAAAGCCACAAACATGACCAAATGTGCAAGTGAAAAAATCCCATCAAAATGAGAGGATAAATAAAAGAAAAATAAGGCAAGATAGATGGGAATTGAATACATCAAAAAACATGCTAACAAAAAGAGTACTGAAAAACTGAAGGCACACCCTATTATATCTTTAAGCTAATCAATGTACTACTACTATATACAGTTTCGGAACTTTTTTTGACAGACCAAAATGGTTGTTCCAACATTCAAATAGAAATGCCTTTATTAGTGGTGGTATCTCCTGATGAACCAATCATAGTTGGATTAAGTGAGAAGCTATCCCACAACTTCTGAGTTCTCCACATTTCCTTCTGCGCTTGTCCTCTGTCTCCTTTGCAGGGAAAACAAGTGCAACAGCAGATCCCAAGGAGAAACATTGTTGTACATCCAGGCAAATGGTTTGGGTCTTTGCTGGAAATAGAAAGTCAAACTTATCGGCAATACAATTAACAAGATCACTTCATTATTGTCAATTTCACTATCAATAACATCCATCTTTGTCAATTTCACTATCAATAACAAGTGCAACAGCAGATCCCAAGGAGAAACATTGTTGTACATCCAGGTAAATGGTTTGGGTCTTTGCTGGAAATAGAAAGTGCAAACTTATCAGCAATACAATTAACAAGATCACTTCACTATTGTCAATTTCACTATCAATAACATCCATCTTTGTCAGTCATCAAAGTCACTACGAATCAGCACTGTCCATATCATGGTCAATCTCCTCGCATTCACTGGCATCTTCTTCCTCCTCATCATCGAAATCTTCTGAACCATCAATTTCATTATCATGCTCATCAGTATCTCAAAGGAAAATAAAATCGTCACTATTGTGTTCTTCCCCATCGTCCTCTTCTTCCTGCTTATCAGTCTCAACTTCATCGTCTTCATCATCAGTAACATAATCATCATCGTCAACATCACTGTCATCGTCATCATAGACACCCAAGGGAGGAAAGAAACCAAACTGATGAGGTATGAAGCTCAGGACTCTATCAACTCTATCCTATCAAGTAAAACACTGACATAAGAACTTCCTCTTGTGCCATTGAGTTTCTAAACAAATGTCATCGAAAACGACGTTTCAAAATGCAGGTTTAATATTAACAATTTATTAGCAAGTTTCACTGATTTGCAATTCTTTGACCAAAGTGCAGGTCCACAGAGAAGGGCGTTATTACATAGTAAGATAACCACATATGAGAATCCACCTAATGTAGAGATATATCGTGAATACTTCAAATATTGGCAGCATCCAGAACTCTAGTTGAACGCTAGAGTTGATTTCAAACTGTGAGTAGCCAGGTGTGCATAATCCAAGGATGAAACCTTGCATAAGCATATCCTCCCAGCCCTTAATGGAAACATGAATGAACATGGCTTTTTAACTTCTCAAAGTAAACTAAATTAATAGTACAGGTTTATTGAGAAGGCAAACCAAATGACATGACCCCAGATATTTTTCAATTGAGTGCACCAATCCATTTTCCGGTTACTGCATCTTATTTAATATATTATCATGACAAAGTTTCCTAATTTATATATTACTGTGACAAAGTTTCCACACTACGCTAGATTACATTATTGACACAACATTAAGAATTATGACAAAGGCGGGTTTGCTTTTAAAATCATCACATACCTTTTGAATGTTTGTAGGCAAAGCAAATCTATCAATAGCTTTAGGAATCCATATTTTTATGTCACTCTCTATCCCACTGCTGGCAAGCACCGTATGATGAGGATGGGACTCGATGCAATTCACCACATGCTTATCTGCTTCCATAACACGAATGAGTTCCCCACCCTTCTTCTTCCATAAGAAAATTCGACCACAATCTGATCCGCTCATAATATACTCGGAATTCGGCCCAAAGAAGCTCACGCCTTTCACAGTCTCACAGTTTCTATGCCCTTTGTATGCCTCAGGAGATGCTTTCGTATTGGCATCAATGTCGGATAAAGATGCAACTGAATGATTATCGGGGCTCATATTCCCAGCATCACTGTCATGAAATACTTGAGATGTAGAAGGTGGATCAGGCCCCAGTCCCATATCCCTTGAGAAAAGATAGATGAACTCTTCACTATAAGACACAAGAAGCTCACTCTGTTCAGAGAATGCCACCCCTGTTATTCCCACATCTTCATCATCAACTAAATGCGGGGGACAAAAGAAATCAACAGGGTGGCCAAAATCAGTAGATCCCTCCACTTTACATTTACGTATGTCAAATAACCGAGCAAATTGATCTGATCCCCCAACAGCAAAGAAATTAGGATTTCTTGGATCTATCGCAATTGCATTTAGATAGATGGTGGGCATAAAGCTCTGTCTCTGGATAGGGTGACAGGTAAAAAGTTCAACAGCAGTTCTAGTTCTCAGATCGATCTGTCGAATATACAATGGTGTCACACCATTAGACTTGTAAAGTTTGTGCAGGCAATAGAAAGATATGAAAAAGATCAATTAGTCAAACAAAATAGATGGCAGATATCAAATCATCAATTGTCATGGTGAATCTTCCCAGGGGTTTCAGAAAAAAGGAAGGCATACAAGTCCAACGGCAACAATGTATTTGTAATGAAAGAAACAGCAAGAAAATATATATATAAAAAAATTGATAAGAATATATCAACTTACACGCTGAACCATTCCATCTTCACCACAGGTATAAAAAATATGAGGGCTTCCAGGCTCAATGGACAACTTCTGAGTTCGTCCTTGATGTTTTGCAAGCAATTTAGTCTCCACTTCTCCTCGCTCAAGAATCTGAGCATGCCTCACCTATATTTAAGAATTCTCCCCAGAAAGAACATGATCTTCCAAAATTCATAGTTCAAAGCACAGAATAATATACAGCAATCCAACTTCTTTTCTCAAATATTTCACATTAGCGACTTGTATCACCAATTCAACTTCAAAACTTTCAGACCAATTCCATTTTTTTAGGGTGCACAATGCTACTCTTTTGATGATACAAGTAAACAGTTTCCATGAATTGAACTCATCTGTCAATAGTTAAAAATCAGGGCAAACAGATTACCTGCCCATCAGCAGCGCAGGTAACAATGCTTCGGTCCTCATTGTAAGGCATGAACTTTGCTTGTAATACATTATTGTGGTGACCTGAATGAAAAGAGAGTTTAACATGACCAGTTTCCCAATCCCAGAGAATGATCCTCTTGTCGTCAGAGCCTGATACAAGAACATCACCATCAGCATTGAAGCTAACTGTGTTCACGCAGCCTTGGTGCTTCTCAAGCTTCAGGAGGATATCAAGACGAAGCACAAGATCCTGGTATCAAAAGGCAGCAAAGAAATGTGAGAATATAAAATTCCACATCTGCAAAAGAACAAATTTCCTTATAGCTCGCAACTGAAGATGCCATGAGATATACTCCGGTTACCGAACTAGAAATTATGTTTTGTTTTGACTTGGCATGTTCATTGAGGTTGGAGCTGAAAATCAAATGTGTCGTATCAAATTCCAGTTTTGTCCCTTGATTTGTGACATAAAGTAACATGCAGAACCAAGTCTCAACATTAAAATGTTCAAAGTGAATTGTGATTAAAAAAGTTCAAGAATGAATATTTGAAGAAAAAACATTTCTCCAAAAAGGAAAAGAGGTAACTAATTCGGAATGAAGAGAATATATGGTCGTGTCATTCCCAAAGAAGTACACAACAAAGTCACATATGTAGGGAATGCTCACTTTTTTCTTTTCATTTTTTTCAGGTTAATAGCAAATTTTCACTACAGATTAGACACTTCACCCAAATCATGCACTAACAATGCAACTAAAAAGACAAAATTCGTGTAAATTAGTTCAAATTGAATAAGGTGATTTCTAACTCGAATTCTGAGATCCCAATGGAATGCTACCCAAGCAACCTCACAATATCAACACACAAAAATAAGCTTTAAAAAACCCATCAATTAAGAATATAGACAAATGCGTGTAAACTAGAGAGAATAAAGAGAAATCAGGTTATATAAATCAAATTGATATTGGTATACACAAGAACTCAGTAATAAGGTAAATAATGGATTGCTCTGCTTTATAATAAAAAAACCTTGGAAGCTGCAAAACGGTGGGCGAAGTTTCGGGTGGATAACGCACCGACTTCACGTTTCCAAACATCAACCACTGCCGAGTCGAGGCTCGTTCCGACCCTCTTTCTCGTCATAATCTCCAAAACCAAAAGAATGAGTTAATTAAATCACTGGTCATCAACATTTGCATCTGGTTACTACTTACTCACCCTGAAATAAAAGGTTACCCACTGCTCATCCACATTTAAAAAAAATTACCCATCCATCACTCCTTCAATTTCCTTCCATCCAACTAGGCAAAAATGTCCACGTGGCAGATGAAAATCCTAGGTGGCACTCACTCCTTTAAAAATTGCCACGTTGGAAAATCCTGTATTGAAAAAGCAGCTTATTTTTCAATAAGTAGAAACCCAAAAAATAAGCCAAAAGTTGGATAATTGCACCTTCTTCAACCTGTTTTCTGGGTTGAAATTTGTTCAAAAATCAGAAGAAATAATTACCGAAAGGGAAAATTTATAGTTCGATCCAAAATTTTCTTGGTTGTTCAAGTAATCAGAGCCAAAAGGCTCCAGCTTCTCTCAGACGAGCCACCAATTCACCGAAAATATGGCGCCCATGATTTCTTCAAGGTCGAAGCATACCAATATACACAGGCCAATGTTCCATTGCAACTTTGCAAAACATTTTACCCTTAACCATTATAACTCCCAACCCATCACCATCTTCCAAACGGACTCCTGTATTTCCTTCCGTGCGACAGAGAAACCATCCCCCTTGTCTAATAAAACTCTATAAATCTGATCATTAATCATTGGAGGGTAATAGAGAGGAAAGGGAAATTCACGGCCAGAAAGACAATCAAATCAAATCGTAGATAGAAGTTTGGAAAGAAAATCTGATCATTAATCGTTTGAAAAGAAAATCAGGAAGAGATATTCTGAAAATCTATTTCGCGGATTTTTCATTGTAGATAGAAGTTTAAGGGTTTTTCAATTTCGGTATTGATTTGAAAGTCTTGATCTGAGATTCCATTGATGAGAAGCTGATTTGGGGGAAGAAATATTGGAGGAAGATGAGTAAAGAAAGGAACAATTCTAACCTTCTGAAGAGCAATCGTCTTTTAATGTATTGTGATTTTCCAACGTGGCAATTTTTAACGGAGTGAGTGGCCACCTAGGATTTTCATCTGCCACGTGGACATTATTGCCTAGCTGGATAGATGGAAATTGAAAGAGTGATGGATGGGTAATTCTTTTTAAAAGTGGATGAGCAGTGGGTAACCTTTTATTTCAGGGTGAGTAAGTAGTAACCAGATGCAAATGTTGATGATCAGTGATTTAATTAACTC